AAATGCAGCCGAGATACAGCGCGAATATGAATAGAAAGGCGGGTGAGTGCACGCGACCACCGTGGCCTTTCAAAGCCTGCTGTAAGCCGGCATACCTGCTGTTGTGATGAAGCGAGTCGCAGGACGCCAGCAGCGAATACAGCAACGTCCGGTAGATGAGGTGCAAGGGCACCAACCAGCTATCGTCCGACTTACACTTCTTACGAATCTTAGATGCCAACTTAAACACATCGCGCCAGATGACGTCGACGATTTCAACAGTGCTAAAGCAAAACGACTCCTTGGACATCGCCGCCAACAGTAACGCTAAATACACGGCCTTGTGTGACAGGTCGCTGCGGTATCTCAGAACGGTCCTGAACGAGGTGCAGATGTAACTGAGCGTTGCCTCCAGTTCCTCATAAGGCAGAAAGACGCAGGTAGTCGCGAAGGCAGTCACCTCAAAGTTGTACAGTGCAAAATGGTCATTGTTTAGGATCTGGCCGATGTAGATCCGAATCAGCGTACTGATCTGTCGCACTTTGCCGTGCATCACGATCAAGTTCGTCAGAAGCTGTTGGCCGTCCTCTGTGGAGACGGCATGCTCGTGACAACGTTCACCCATATGGCGGTGCACGGCAAATATCAATGTCTCGCAGTTGTCCATGACCAGCGCCGGATGAATGAACAACAATGAATTCAAAAAATCGCATATCGAGCGAAGGTCACTGCCCATGTTTTTATCAAGTTCACTCTTCAGACTCGCCATCCATGAAAGGAACGCACCCTCCTTGTCTTCGACAACCGTGAAAAAGCCCTGTTCCCTGATCACGCGGAACACATCGGCCAGGAATGCGACGGGCATCCCAACAGAAGAGCCGCCGTCATTGGAAACTACAGTTGCCGACGCCGCTGACGTTGCCGTATCTATCGCAAATTTGGAAAACTTCATGAGCAACAACGGATCAATGGAGAGTATGGGATTGAAAAAAGGCTTACAGAGAGACAGGAAACGAGGAAAGAACCTCATAAAAGGGGACGCCTGTGCAAGGGAAGCACTCATGTCGATCATCGCCTGAAACAACGCCTTAACGTATATGTTTTCCAGATTCGAGTCGCGCCGCTGAAAGTACACTACGAAGTCTTCTGGCCTTGATGTGTGCAGCAGAACAGACGTTACAAACTGCAAGACACTTTCTGCCAGTTCGGAACAGTCATCACCGTCGCTACTCTGTGTCTCGGCCTCTGCCTGCGCCTCAACTAGTGCTTGCGCCCGAGTTTGGATTTGAACGGCGGCGGCGGTGGCTCCTTCGTTGCACAGTTTTCCGTAAAGATTTACGCAGTTGCACAGCATTTTCTTGCAGAACTGGCTGAAAAGTTGTTTCCTATAACCCCAGAACACTTTGAGCAACAGGAAGTCTTGCATACTTCCGGTGCAAATGCGCAGGTACAGGGGGAACAACATTCTGTGAACGCGCGGCTGCAGCTTGGTCACTACTTCGACCAATTGGCACAAGAAATCGAACAGCAGGTCAGTGTTGCTCTTCAGCACACAGTTCAGCTCCTGACGACTCAGCACGAAGTTCAGACAGTTTCCGAGCGGCAGTAAGTACGGCACCGCATCCGCCGTAGAGTCCACATCCAGCGTTTGCTTCGCGCGACTCAGACAATTCAGAGTCGCCTTGACGAACAAGTGCTTGCCGACGATGAACACACGACAACACTCTGAGGAAGTGTGCTGAAACTCAACTAACGCCGTCCACAATTCGGCCACCTCTGCCTCGCTGACCTCATTCTTTTTCCAGTCGCACAATATGGCGCAGAAACAGTGAAATACTGCGCTCTGCGAGTAGAGCGGAGGAATTGGATAAGACATCGGGCGGCAAAGAATCGCCTTGCCAACTCTCCGCTTAACGGCAAACGAAACGGCCTTGTTTTTGAACATCGAGTACAGCCCAGAGCTCTCGGCCTTCATCTCGTCGGTGGCACTCATAACTGAAGCAATTCGAAGCTTAAACCTTCCCGAAAGCGCCACCACAGACCAACCCTAGAAAGTACACATATTCTTAGTTCAAATTCAACACAATCAAACAAAAGTCGAACAAATAAACAGACCTGCTCAGCCAAACACTAATCCCATAGCTTTCAACCTATCAGCTGAAATTTATAACCGATCCAGTAACAACACTTAAATTAAAAATCTTTCAAATTAGCAGGTGTTCTTCAACAGAAGTCACCAATGAAATTTGGGCACAGATTTTGATTAAACTTTACAAATATTCATTCTGATCACTTGGGCCAGCCGTTAATCGGCGACGAATCGTACAAACCACAAAACGCTCGCGATTTCGTGCATTCTTCTTCCAAGAATGGTCTACCTCTCTCCTGATGCAGTGTTTCCCCCGTCGTGGTGGGCGCCAAATTAGCCTAATCCACCCGCTACGGTACCCTTCGGCGATCATCGCCGACCACCTACCGTCGGTAGCTGAGCTGTGCCCGGCCCACTCGACGATAATGCCCTTCACACCCGTAAGTTGTCTGATCGATGTGTTGGCGATGTAGTCCCGACGTGAGACTCAATACTCTTCCTTCAATGGCTCTCTCAGTAATAGATAGCTGTCGCTCTTGCATTTTCGTGAGTGACCACACCTCACAAGCACAAAACATTGCTAGCAGAACTGAAAAGGTTGACGCGGGTACCTATCCTGCAGTTTCTGAAGACGTCCTCAATGGAACAGAACAGAACAGTTTCTCCGGAGAATCTTTCCAGCCAGTTCACGCCACAGTTGACCACCTGACCTACAGGCTCATGTAAATATATTTATTGACTTATTCGATGTTTTCGAGGTTTAATAACTCCTGAACCTTACAGATATTAATTAATTTAATCAGATTTGTTCGTTTAATTATTTAAATAGTTTTGTTCAGATTGAGAGTGTGCAACCACTGTTTAATCTCGAGCAATATCCACAACGATTTCTCAAGTTCTCCGGGTTGCGAGTCACCTGTAAGTAGGGTCGATCCTAATGTAGCTCTCATCCAGTTTATTAGGATGACGAGTTCTGTCTTGGTGACAACGGTGTGGCTTATCTGAATGCATTTTGAATGTTTGTAGTATTCGGTAAAGGACAGAAAATAGAACTGTTCTTTTATGCCGGAGATTAATTCTACGATCTTCATATTTTCGAAAACTGAAAACTATATAAAATCGGTTTATTTACAAATAAAGTAAACTCCACTGGGTGAGTGAACAGAAACCGACGTTTCGGCTGGTCTCACGACCTTCGTCAGGATAGTCTGGGTTGACTTCCGCAGTTCGTTCTGTAGTCCGCAGCTGCTGTCACGTCTGGAGTTAAAGACGAGCATATGGCCAACGCTGATGGTTAAGTAGCCAACA